TCAACTGAAGTTAACATCATCTTCTGACTCTAAACCGGCTCTTCAGCACTACAGGTGTACCTGCTGAAACATGTTCTCCAAAGCATCAACATAACTGGAAAATGCCAAATACCAGGGCATTCCATCCCTCCGTTGCCTCAGACTAGGATGAATCAGCTATATGAACAGATTTGTTAGAGAAAAGCCCCACCTATCAGTTTATCCCTTAGCATTCTTACCCCACCCTGAGGTGAAGCATGACTCTATTTCTATCAGATACAGGAGTTTATTAATTGGTTTAAAAAGACTTTATTAGCATCACGGAATATAAAATTGTCACGATGATTCTTCCACAGAACAGCAGTACCTATGGCTCCAGAGAGTCTTTCGGTATTCATTAGCAGACAAAAATAATCTTAAGATTTAAAAGGGCACAGACCTTCACTTACTTCTAAACCAAAACAAAGCTCACCAAACAAAATCGCTTATACTTACTTCTTTTTTCATCCATAATTTTAAAGCAGTAAGTAAAGCCTTCACTCCTTGCACTAAATAGCTTGGAGGCTGGAAACCATCTTCCCTCAGTTCTGAAAAGGATGCAGATACCAATTTAGAAACACACTAACAGTGAAAACAGTAGAAGGTACCTACCCTTCAGCCAATGCAGTTGCAACAGGACAAAACCGAAACGTCGTGCAAGCAAATGGAACATGACACCCTGGATTTGTGTGCACACTGTAACTAAAAACCCAACCCAACCCAAAAGTGATTCTACATCATCACCTTTTTTTTTTTGGTTACTTATTCTTGGGTGAATTAAGGACAACATAAAGGTTGATCAGTTCTAAAATCCAGAACAAGAGAAAACGTATTTGAAGAAAGAAATCACTTTCATTTCATTCAGAAATATTTTAGGCAGGGGGAGCAGAAGGATGTGGGATGTATCTCTAAATCTGAATTCCTATTGCTTATTCCTATACATACAGCAAGTGGTTCACACCAGCAGATATCCACTACACAAACATTTTCTGTCACCCTTCCAAATATCACAGTTCTCCCTCACACAGCTTACATCATTTTTCCTTCCAAAATTAAAGGGGACAGGGGGTGGAAATCACTCTGCTACAGGAGCTGCTCTTCTGAAGAAAGCTAGTGCTCCCAAATGATTCCTTTTGATTTTCTCTTTTCCTTCAAGGGAGGTGGGGGGGGAAGAAAAAAAAAGAAGGGAAAAGACAAATCTTCCATAAAGTCAAAAGTAGATCGCAACCTCTCCCTATGTTCCTGACAAGCATTTCCACTTGTCAATAGCAAATGGACCAACACTAGAACTCAATTTGCCACATTTTATTCCCTTAAAAGAACACACTAATAAAACACTATTCTTATGGATAATGTGTTAGTCTGCTGGCAAAAAAAGGGAAGCTCTGTTACTAAACAGGCGTTCTTCCCTCCTACTTGTTACAGGGTATGAGAAGGGGTGGCAGGCCGTTGAGTTGCATCAGAAGTCCTTCTGCCCACTAGCTGACTCAGCTGATAATCTGAGAATACAACACAGCACCACAGGCTACAGGAGAAACAAGAACCCGAAACACACATTATGCTGATTTTGCTTACTGACCTGAAATTCACATGAAGTACTGCTGACAACCACGCACTCTACGCTGTAAAAGTTGACCATCACCACTACCTTTCCCAGCTGACTGGTATCATCCCTTACTTACAAAACAAAGGATTCTGACTGCTGAACAACTAAATTCACATGAGTCTTGATGCCAAAGGCCAACATAATCTTCACTCCAGCCATGGAAACCTCAGCTATGATGGGTTTATAGCACTGTTCTGCAACAAACTATCTGCTAAGCCATGGATTAAAAATAACATGAGAATAAGGTTCGTAGCCCTTCCCTAAACACAAGTGGCTCCTAGTCTACGTACTCAAGGAGTGATGGGATAAAAAGACAAAGGGGAAGAGAGGGGGAACGGACATGGGACATGACTCACAGTTAGCTAGAAGATTTAGAAACATATAATCCCCACCATTTTTCCAGATCCTATGTCTCCTGATGGCTTCATAAACTTTAACTATGTGGCTATGAGACCAACCAAAGCAAGCTTTCAGTAATCTTTTTTGGAAAGAAAAGTTTTCTACAAGTTTGTTCTATTTGGTAAGATTTCTGAGTTGCTTTAGGTTCATCCAGAAACTTTAAATGCCCATTTAGGAAACCAGGGTTGTTCAATGCCTTCATTTGCTAAAAGGAAGATAGATAATTTTCAATAACCGTGACTGTTTTAGTATTTAAAAAGTTACATGAGATTCTTATGTCTTTTAAATCAGAAGCTGAATTCAGCAGCCTCCTTTAAAGGTTGATTCCTCTCCTTGGAAATACATCATTTGAAATATGACATTATTAATGTTACATAGAGCAGGTAGAGGGCAAAATATTTGTGGAAAAGGTGAAGTCAGACAGGCACTCTCACAAGCTCAATTTTATATGGGTACAGACACAGGAATTACAGGATTAGATGAGGAAGTTTGGAAAGGACCTGCAACTGTCAAAAGGCTGTTGAGATGTCTATTGATAAGCACTCATATCAAAGATTTAACACAGCTCGTAGAACTGATGCATCTTTCCTACAAAAGCCCTCACAGACACCCCTTCACAAGAAAGGGCAGAATACAACAGGTAGTTTGACTGTAAAGGTCTAAGAAAATTGTAGAAGTGCAAGAAAGCCTCTTCATTCAGCTGTGAAGCCACCGAGAAGAAACACACAGATAGAAGTTAGTGGGATCAATTAGAGAGTCATTTGCTGAAAGGAGGAGAGAAAGGCTATCAAAGTCCACTCAGAGATCTTAACTGATACAGAAGAAGCCTGAGTGAAAAGCTGTCATTGAAATAAGTTTCCTATGCAGTATCCTGCAAGTTCCTTTCCTTAACAAGGCCTTTTCAGATAATGGCAAATTAATCCTATTTGGCTGGTAGAATAATTGCACTGTGCCAGGATCTCAGATGCTCTGTCTTGATGATCTTGAATATTTTCATTGACCAGATAGATCATCAGCATTGGATGAAAAACTAATAAAATAGTTCAAAGGTTCGAGCAGCATACTGCAAAGCGTTAGTTACATACATCACCAAGGGCACCAAGATTACTGCACTGTGCAAGTTACCCCAGAAACCCTTAATTACCAAATTAGTTTTCAGAAAGATCGTTTACTAAAACCAATAGAACTGCTGGATCTGAAACAGTCACAGTGCAGCATTCACTAAAACCTGGTTTAAAAAAATGCGACTTTTACAAAAAAAAAAAAAGGTGACTAAAAAAGAGGGAATTCAAGTCTGATTTTCCAGCTTAAAAAGCTTCCTCTGTTCACCCAACAGCAGTAAAATTTTCTCCATTATTAACAAAGAGGGAAGAAAAAAAGAAAAAAAAAAAAGAAGAAAGCAGATAAACGTGTGTTTCTTAAAACAAAGCAAGGATTACCTTTCAATGTTTCCAGTAAGTTTTTGGCCACAAACCAACAGATGGCTTCAAAGAACGGAAATTTGAAAAGATCCGGGGTTTTTAGCCTCTTCTCCATTTCATAACACCTGAATAAATAGAAATATTATAAGCCATGAATGTTTTAAATTATCAAATTCATTATTCCACTATGTAATCATTCAAATTGACACAATGTCCAAAATAAAATAAAATAACCATGGCCATGATAAATAAAAGAAGTCAAGTACCACATAGTTAAATCCCAACAAGACCACAGACAAGATTGAACTCTGGTCTCATCCAGGCTCTGACCTTATCAAGTTTGACTGCGGCACTTCTAAGAATAAAGTTGGACTTCATAAAACTAGGATACAAACCCAGTGTGTGATCTTTTAACAGATGGAATTTTATCGGGATTCCACTGTAATAAATAAAAACAATATGTTTAGAAGACAGCCCCACATCTTGGACAAAAACTAAATACAGCTGCCCTTAGAGCAATGCTGACTTGAGGACGCTCACTTCAACTCAGTGTCGCACACCTGGGCTTGCTCAGTGTTGTTTTGCTCACTTATACTAAACTCGAAAGTAGAGTTTGTTGGTGGTTTGTTGTTTTTTTTTTTTTTTTTCTTTTATTCACTTATTTTGCATACCCTTAATTTTGCTTTGGAAACAAACTCTGCAAAAGTGAAATAAGAGTATATGCTCGATACATTCTAACTGAAAATACCACTATTGTCGTTTGAGAGCCTGTACCGATTTCATCCTGCTTAAGAGCGTGAAGAAAAGTATCTATTAAAAGAGTTTCCTACTTACTGAGGAACAGGTATAGGAACAGCTGAGACTAACCTGAGCTGCATGCCAATATTGAGGTTGTGCAAAAAGTTTCCTCCAAAAGCCATACAATCCTGAGATGTGAGCACAGCGTGAATCCAGCCTGAAATGACAGATTCTGAAACTTACTACATATGTATAGGTTATTCTGTTTTCAAATACATGTGGGAGTAAAAATGCGGTAACAGGAAACAAAAAAAAGGCAAACAAATTTGTATTCTGTGCTAGAAACAAGTGATCTAAATTTTAACAACCTGTAAATTACAGTGTTTCAGAAAACTAGTGGAACTGTATTTTCCTGAAGGAGTTAAGACATTTTTCACTGGGTGGGGGTGGGAATGCAAGACAGCCAGTGATATTCCAAGTAAAAATTCCCAAAAGTTTACCCTTTACTCAACAAAATATCAGCAAGTCAGGAATGAAAAGATATTGAACAAAACATAGTCCTAAAAACCAAATAGAAATCCTATTCTTTTCAATATTTGCATGTTGCCTACAGTATTTGAGCTGTTTGCACAACATTAAAAAATTATTTAGCAATAATGAAGTTTGTCAAATAGGAATTCAGAAGTAGTTCTATTAATTATTCTAAACACAGTCATCCTGATTCCAGTGAAATTATAACCAGTTTAAAACCCATTCTAGGCACTCTGACTATATAAATTTGTCACATAACTTAAATAATTGACCTTGTGAACTCCACTATTCACCACGGCCAACATCATGCTATCAGTCTAGCTGGTTACTACTGAATAATTTCAAGTACACAAAATTATATATTGTATTAGCTTCCTGATGAAAAAAGTTACTTTTAAAACTTACACCATGCAGCTTCAATGTAAATAAAATATAAAGAGAGTTTCTTCAAGATTTTTTTTCTGATTTTGCATGCATACAGGTGATCCTTGGACAAAAGATGAGTGAGTTGGCCATACATTTGCAAATTACTTCACGGTTTGACTGAGTGTAGGCAAGATGTACCAAATGCAGGAAGCTCCCTAACTTGAGGCAAGATCAGATCAAATTCACAAGCAGCTACATATTTCAAACTACCATTAAAACCATGCCCCCATCCAATCAAGAACAACCAGTTCTAGCTGTTGTGGTAGCACATGTAAAAAGATCTGAAACCTACCAACTACGCCAACTAAGCAACATGCCTACTATGTAGCCTGGGAAGGAAGGAAGTTACAGAATGGTATATGAGAGACTGCAGAATACAGTGGCACATGCAACCTAAGGGTTTTCTTTAATTAATATTATATATTGTTCAGTTTTAATTCTGTTCTTTGAGAAGTGCAGTGCAGACTGCCTTGTATTACCAGCTGCATTTGTTAATATAGTATATGATATTATATATAATACAGTATATGAATAACTGACTCTAAGGAATAGTTGTATTTCAATCCTTCAAACACACATCTCCCCAGACAATGACAAAATTGACAACAAACCCACGTCACTATTGCATCAACACTAAGGATTTTTACGGCATACCTGTAACAACTAAAGGATTGCATTTTTTACATTCCTACTTGCTATTTTTATGCTGGAGTTTTAATCAAGGTCTACCTAACAAGGCAAGAAAATTTGGTGTAGACCACACAGTATCTTGAATAATATTTAAGTAACTCTCAAGAGCCTCCCAGTAGGTGATATCCATCTACATGTAAGACTGATTTGAAATCAGAAGTCAACTCTGGACATATTTCAGAGATTATAAAATAATTATGACATCCACTAGCATCAGTGTAAGCGGGAACAGCAAAAGTGGTTTTCAGTAGAGATAAGGGGGGGGGTTTTTTTTAGAAACCTTTAATCATTTTTACAGAATTTCCCCATTTTTAAACATCTGTCTTGAAAGCTAGTGTAATTTACCGATTCTTACACTATACTCCACAGTATGTATATGAATATGTATGTTTTTGCATTAGAAGTATCATTTTATGCATATACACACACACAAACACACATATACATTAGAAATTATCATTTTATGGTACTTTTCCATAAAAAGTACCATACTTCATGGTACATTATATAGCCATTACATATTTTCTATTTGGCTACATCAGATTCAGCCGATTACTTGGGAAACAGTAACTATTTTCAAAGATGTGTGGGTGGGACACAATGAAGTTCACTCTGTAATTCAGCATTCTTCGTCCATAGATGTATGAACTTACACTTGGCTAAACGGAAAATTGTCATCTCTTGCCAAAAACATATGTTTAAAAAGCTCTGGGTATTCAGGAATATTAACTGCATATATAGCACTCCTTAGCACATAGTATTCATTCTGCACAAGCCATGAAAACTAGATCAGTAAGCACTAAGCCTCACAGGTAGAGAGCTGAGCTACGAAAAAATGTAGTAGTCTGTCTAGGAAGTCCACGACAGAACAAGGTACCGAATATAATCTTCAAGGCTTATTCCACACATACATTCAGCATGGAGAAGGCTCCGAGGAGACCTTATTGCACCTTCCAGTACCTGAAGGGGCTACAAGGAAGCTGGGGGGGACTTTTTACAAGGGCCTGTAGTGACAGGACAAGGGGTAACAAGCTTAAATTGAAAGTGGGGAGATTTAGATTGGATATCAGGAAGAAGTTCTTCCCAGAGAGGGTGGTGAGGCACTGGAACAGGTTGCCCAGAGAAGCTGTGGATGCCCCATCCCTGGAAGTGTTCAAGGCCAGGCTGGATGAGGCTTGGAGCAACCTGGTCTAGTGGAGGGTGTCCCTGCCCACGGCAGGGGGGTTGGAACTAGATGGTCTGTAAGGTCCCTTCCAACCCAAACCATTCTGTGATTCTGTGATTTTCCTTTTATTTATATTTAAAGCTTCCTACCCCAAAAAAAGGGAACATATCCCAGTAAAAATCTTTACTAACAAAATCATAAAAAGTATTTACATGGATGGGCTGGAAGTGAAAATTAAAGAAATTAACTGGCACTCACTCTATTGGCAAAATGTGGTTTGATGTTAATACTAAAGACGAAGTTGATGGTGTCTGGGGGAGAGAGGTAGTGGTAGCGTGTTCGGTTTGAGTGATTTTTCTGTGATTTTCTTTTTAACAGATATACAAATTTAAAGAAATTTAATTGTCTTGAGTTTCTATTTTTTTAAAAATGTCCTGTAATTTATCAGGTGCTATTAGGTGATGGCCACAAGAATTGTTATTAAATAAAATCACAAAAGGCCATGCCAATATCATTTTTAAAGTAATGTGGTGAAATGAATTAATGAACTCTACAGTTTCATAAACCATATAAACAAATATACTTTTATTTTTAATAAAAGTAATTGAAACATGAATTCAACTATGTATACTTCAGTTTTATTTACAGAAACTTTCATTCTGATTCAGAGAGGCTCCACTGTTTATATTTCCTTCTGACAAACAAACAAAAAACCCTACAACCCACCCAACATTTATTTTGAATCCTCTAGCCTACAGCGTTAGAAGTTCATGTGATTTTTTAAAATAAAAAAGGCCTAGTTTGTCTTAGAATATTTAAAAGCTATAAAAACAAACATCTATTATGAAATTAAGATAAGAATTCAGTCCAGATATCTATCAAATGGTGAACAACGTGCTATGTGTTTTCTACAAATTGGAACTATTTCCCTGATACCCAAATTAAGCTTTAAATTTGTTGCTTTATAACTGGATAGCAAACACCTTTTCTTTCCCTGATAATTGTTATTACTGTCAGGCAATCTAAAAAGCTAATTGCTTGTTTTGAAAATCTAAATTTCTAATTTTTTTATTATTCTCTCATCTAAAATTGCAGGAGAAATCAAACACTGATAAAGACACTCACTTCAGGATACCCATAATTCTTGGTGATTAAATATGCTAAGTCCTAGTAATAAGGGTAGAATCTTACCTGTTGGAACAAATAAAGTGTGTCCTTGCTTCACAACACATTTGTAACATTTGTCAACCTTGTCCCCAAAATATACTTCACTCTGGGTGACAGATGAACTCCAAGACTCATACAGAGCCAAATTTTCATCAGTGGGCTTGATCAAATAGAATATCTTTTCACCCTATTGAAAAAAAAGATTAAATAAATTAATATGTCCTCCTGGAGGCATACTACAACCTCTGAGTCATTCCTAATAAAGTGACAGATTGATCTAAATGGCAAATATCCCTTACTTCCACTAGGGAACACTGGGGCTTCCTAGCTCCAGCGTTTCACAACGGTAACCCACCAAAAGCTTAGTCAACAGTACACTAACCAGTTGGTGTCTTGTGAGACAAACAAAAGAAGCAAACAAACCAACCACAACTTTCCACTGGACTATAAAAATTTCCAGCTTTTATAAACAATTTATGGCTATGTGCACACATGCCAAATGAGAAAACAGAAGATGAAACCACATTGCATCTTCCATGGTTTATACAAGGCCAAAGTTTGTGAGAAGAATAAAAGCTCAAGTATGCCAATCATTTTCATTTAAATCATTTTTTCATACTAAAACATCACCATACCACCTACCTACCAGTCTACTAAAATGATCAGTCAACCAATTACAGTCTAGAAGTCAGCAACAGGATACTAAAACAAAAGCATAAAAATACCACACCAAAAACCAGTTCACTTTCAAGCTCCTCCCCTAGCTTTTTAAGCACAAAATTTCATGCAGATGGTAATTATGAACTGGTGATAATGCCATAACACTGAATAAATTCGGTTGCATAGAGCCATAAATAAGAAGCCTTCATACCCAGAGGACATGGTACCAAACTGATGTTCCTCCAAAATCGATATGAAAGTCGGTATAGCTGTCCTGGACACCCATCAAGCAATACTTCTGAACAAAAGGCTTAGGGAAGACAGAGTCATCTGGCCAATAATTTTCCACCCATGAAAGCTTTCTAGCAATATCTGGTACTTCCACTAATTCAGACATCCTTTTAAAACAAACAGAAAAGAATCATAAATATAATCAAGAGTAAGCACACTTTAAGTGACAGCTTTAAATAGTTGTTTCTTACAAAGTTATTACTTATGAATTCATACAAATGTTTTATACCCACATTACATCAGAGTAGCTGTCCACATAAAATATGCAGCCTCCTATCTTTCCCACTACAGACATTGTATTCCTACACATACTGTTCAACAGCGAAAAGCCACTTCCTATGTGAAAGGAACTGAAGTAGATACTCACTTTGTGTCCGAGAATTCCAGGCTGATCACATTCAATACTTTTGGTCGATCAGGATTTGTGAAATATTTAATATAATTATGGAGCTTCATTTTACTGTCTGCTTGCCTTGCTACATCTATTACATCTATGACTTTGTCGCCACCTGTGAAAAAATATGATGACATTCTTAAACCTATTGCAGCTAAAAAGAGCCAATTAAAGTGTTTAAGAGGAATTTTACTTTTTTCCAGCCTTTATCAATACATTTCTCCACAAAAACTCTATTACTATCAGTATTCACTTGGAACAGAGACAGATCAGTATAAAGCAACTTTCTATTAGGTCTAACTTTAATTGCTATAATCAGCTAAGGACAGAACTGAAAACACTCTAAAAATAAATCCTGCAGTTAACCAAAAAAAAAAAAAAGAAAAGAAAAGAAAAAAAGAGCAGTATAGAATGACTGCAACTGGTTTTAAAAAAAGAATGAGTTTGTGGCTGCAATTGTAAAGACTAGTGTAGAGAAAGTTATCAATGCAGATTTATTCCTCACTCCTTACTAGTAATCATCACCACAGCACTTCCATATTTAACACAAAGACCACGGAGAACTCTTTACAAATAATAAATCCTACTGCTCACAGCTTGGAATTCTTAGTAAACTGCACTAAACTCGTGCCATAATTGGTATGGTTTTGATGTTAAAAACTTTTGGGGGTACTCCTTCACAAACATTCTTCGACAAGCCCGCCCCCACCCTCCTTATAATTATGCATGGTTTTTAAGCACACAGTAATTTCGTTGAATAATTGTCATGAGTGTGCTGCATTTCTGAAGACAACAAGGATTAGTTTACAAACTGCGTATTTTAGAAGTGACACATCTGTGGAACTAGACAAACAAGAAGCAACCTTTAGCCAAGGGAAAAGACTAACAACATTATGACAGCAACTGTTTTATGTCCATGTTGTTTTACAACAGTCAAATTTGACAATTAATTATGGAATGCCGGATTATGTCTAAACGTACATATTCAACATAATTACTTTAAAATTGCAATTGAGTATCATCTTGATAAATATCAGACGGAACACTATTTATTCAGTTTTCTTATTTTTAATGTCAATAATAGAGGTAAATCTGTGACATTTCAGTATTTTCCCTAAACTGGAAAACCTGGCAGGTCAAAATACATGTATGAGAATGAGAATGACCAAGTTTCTCCCTGAATCTTGAAGAAGCAGTATTCCAAAAGAAAAGATTCAGAAAAGTATCAAAATAATAATTAGACTGCAAAGCAGAACACATTACTGTTTATAATCATCATAATGGTAACAACAGTCCATATACTACATATTTCCTCTATTCTGGTCCCACTGTAAAATGTTCATGCAAAGAAAGCCTATGTTCAGCACACATTTGATAAGGCAAGAGGAAACAGTCTCAAGTTGCGCCAGGGAAGGTTTAGATTGGGTATTAGGAAAAATTTCTTCACCGAAAGGTTTGTCAGGCACTGGAAGGGGCTGCCCAGGAAAACTATTTGGGTTAACATCCCCGGGGGTATTTAAAAGATGCATGGATGTGGTGCTTAGGGACGTGATTTAGTGGTAGACTTGGCAGTGCTAGGTTAATGGTTGGACTTTATGATCTTAAAGGTCTTTTCCAACCTAAAAGATTCTATGATTCTATTAGGTTATCACAAGAACACAGACAAGGCCATATATAGACTTCTCAGCTGTAGTATATGTTACAGGAAATGTCATGCTGCAATTGCATCAGTCTCTATTTCTCTGTACTGCCCCCTTACATAAGGCTGAAACAATGACAGATAGTTATGAGACCTTCTAAGAGAGAAATGGTCCTTGCTAAGCTCTAGCTCTCCCAACCAGAGGAAGCCAAGGTGGAAAGATTGATTTAATTCAGAAGTGCCAATTTACTGAGCCCAAAACATGAAGTTTTGCAATATTCTAACCAATGATTGATCGTAAGAGTGATTCATTCAATTCTCACAAAGAGAACAATCTTAAAAGTCATTCTGTTTTACTATTTTACAAAACACAACAGGAAAAAAAACCTTGTTCAGCTTGCACCAATATTAACATGTTTGATAGTGAAAAAGTAAGGCTGTACACTATCACATAGCTACCACGCACACACAAAAAGACAGACAGAAAGACAGAAAAAACCCAAAACTGTAGCTTTAATTTTATTCTCTGCTAGTCTGGGTAGAAGTAATTCAATTTAGAATATATACTCAGCACCCTGGAAGCTCTTATAATCATCAAATATTTATTTTAATTTACAGACAGGATCGTTTGTAACTAGTCCAGAGCGACTCTTACCTACATAGCGTTCCACATCTAAAACGGAGAAAGTTGGTGGAGGAAGTCTGAGCCCCAGACCATCTAACTTAGCAACCATAATGGGAACATCAAACCCATGTTTCTCCAAGTATCTTTGTGTCAGCTGGCTTCCATGCATCTTCAAAATCACTTCATCAGCACTGGTGGACCAAAATAATGGAATATTAGCAGAAAACCATCCTCCAAGCAGTACTAAAAAACATGATGTCACAGTTTGGGAAGGACAGATGGGAATGGCTACATTTGAATCCAAAAGAAGTGGACCCAGTACTATTATATTAAGCATTTACCTAAAAGACAATTACCTAAACCAGCAAAGGAAATGTTTATTGTCATGCATAACCTGGAAACCGACTGTCTTTATATATGACTAAACACAGTATTTTAAGAGGATGAGGAAAAGGAATTTCCAGAGATGGCATTAAAGTACATTTTGGTAACCACAACAACCACCTCCTTTAAAGAATTGTAAATGATTATGTTTCAGTGAGACAGCCAACCACAGAGAGCTCAGCATGAAAGTACAACCATGTTTCTCCACTGTCCGCTAAAGCACGTGAGAACACAGACTACCATATATATACTGCCACAGAAACATTCTCTGTTATTTGGAATGGAATTGAGGACTATTCCTGGACTAGAGGAATAGACAGACAATATTCTGACCGTTCAGGCACAAAAGATAAAAACAAAACCCAACCACTCAACCAACTGCCCTCACTCCCCCACAAAAACAAACAAAACACCAAAAACTCAGAAGCCCCACACCACCCTGTAGCAGTCCTGACGGACAACACACCCCAGTGCAAAACTGGACAGGGGAAGCTACTGCAGGAGAACATAAATGCATCAGTTTGAAAGAGGGAGGGAGCAGGGGCGGTCCTAAAGGAGGTCATCCTAGACCTTCATTTTCTGAGGTGGAGAATCATTAGTCACCTCCAATGCACTCTCAGCTGACAAAGTTTCCCTATTTTTTTCACTGCAACACGTAGGTAAGCTTCTGTACCTTGGGAAAGAGCGAGCCCGCAGCTGTTTAACGAAGGTCCGTGTTCCAGCCTGCACCGGTTTGGAACCATCATCCAACTCCGTGTAGTCATGTCTGTGCCAGTTCCTCCTCTTCTTCACTACAAGTTTCAGAAGGATTAAACTTGGAATTAGTTAAATCAAATGGCTCAGATTAGCAGTCATCCCATCACTGAGCCACACACACCTCAGTTACATTGCTACAGTTAACAGGTTCCATAGTTTATGCGGGTCACACTACCCATCTGTGACTAAGGAGACCTTCCGGCCACCTGACAGTAACCCTCTACAAACTCCTACAGCTCCTTCCATGCGAGAACCTGAGTGCATGTTACACACAACAATTACAGACTCCCTACCCAGTGCAGCACAACAACAGCAGCAGCCTGAAAGTTGCCCAAATTGAAAAAATCGGCAACAAAACTAGAAATAGAACTTCCATTTCCCGATGTTTGGGCTTTTTATGTTTAATATACAGAATTGTACGTACCTCTTCAAGATCAACAGACTTCATTTTCTGTATGAACACAGAATTAACAGGACTTAATCCTATTGTGCTAACTCGCTGTATGAGCATACCCATATCCACTCTGATAATATTACTACTATTCATGCTCTTCAAAACCAAACCATTTTTCTTTTATCTACTGCTTATGTCTCCATAACAGTTTGGGGCACAAACTGTTTAGGGCAGGTGTGATCTTTACTATGCCAGCACAATACATATAAACGCAAGCACTACACCCCAAAGCAATCAACTTCCAAGCTCGTTGAAAGAGCAAAGGATAAATTAACATTCTATTACAATTCTGGGAATCTGAAACTTAATAGTTCAATAGCAACTAAATTGCTCCATTTTTAACCATTACCTATACTTAAAGGGACGAGGAAAACGAAAACAGAAACATTCTCATATAAACTGTTGTGTTGGTCTCACCCTGACAAATAACAGATACACAAATGAGGAAAAAAACCCTGCTATTTTCATGGAGTCACAGAATAGTTTGGGTTGGAAGGCACCTTTAAAAATCGCCTTGTTCAATCCCTCCTGCCATGGATGAGGGAGGACATCTTCCATGAGACCAGGTTGCTTAAACCAACCTGGCCTTGGAAGACTTCCAGGGAGGGGACAGCCACAACTTCTGTGGACAACCTGTTCCAGTGCCTCATATCCCTCTCCATGAGTTTCTTCCAGTCTAAACCCACCCTCTTGAAGCTCAAAACCATTCTCTCTTGTCCTGACACTACAGGCCTTGGTAAAAAGTCACGTTGTGTCCTGTAAGCCCCCTTTATATATTGAGAGGCTGTACTTTAAACATTGTAAACTATATGCAGCCTCTCCATTTGAGCTTTTTGGCCTTAAGTGAAGCAGAGGACAAAGTGACTTATGATATCATGGTGAACTTAGTACCTGTCTTTAAATTTTCATTATTTCATGAGTAATTATTTCACAAGGGATACTTCATGAATTCATCCTTATCAACCACTTATTTGGTATCTTCATTTATAACGAACACAAGCTTACTGCTTTGAAAGGCTGTATTACCTGTTTGTTAGCAAAATGCACTTTGGAGCGCTTTCTGCCTATACAAATAAACCTGTATCTCTTGTCCTCAAAACATCTGACAGGCTGAGCAGCCCTACTGAAGCGCCAACAGGTGCCTCAGCAAAAACGGACCACCACCTCATCGTCTGGGAAAGAAACCCCACCAGTGCTGAACTTGCTACCTTTCTATTTACCACACTAAGAAAGCTACTAAGGGAACAGTAAGTTTTAGGTTGTGTTTCTGGTTTTCCTGAAAAAGCCAAACGCTGCTCTGCAGCATTATTCAGTTGCTACTGGAAGACTGTCCCAAGATTTACTGAGGCCAGCTCTATAATTTAACTAATATTAAGCAGAAATTTAGTTACGTCTACTGAGGAAACCCGGAAGAGGGAAAAGCTACTGTTACTTGTCAACACAAACGGTGTTTTACAGGCATATACAAAACAGCCTGCAATGCAAACACCACACCCAGCTAAACAACTGTTTATTAATACAAACATGAACTTTGGTAAACTTAAGGATAAGCTCTTCCATAAAGTCATGATGCACCCAAAACCTAGAAAAAGTGCTAGCAATATGGAAAACACAGTAACAGCAACAGTAAATTAAGGATTTAAGAAAAAGGAAAAAAGAAAAAGTAGCTTCTAAAAAGAAAAAAAATATGCTGCTTCTCCAGAAAAAACAGCTGGTTATACAGAAACAACTGACATCTTATAGTCATTACACATTAGAGGTAATTATTCCTATTGATAAGCTGTTTCCTACAGAAGTGACAAAATGTACCCTTTAGAAGACATTTAAGAGAATAAACTGACATTTATATCTATTTGCTAATCTGAAAACCAGTGTTGAAGAGCCTGCTTAATGAGCCAACTAGCCAAATACAGTCAAACTTCATAAATAATGAAGCTGGGTTTATTAAGTTTTCAAAGCTATCTTCTCAGTCATAAATAATAATACAAGAAATTAGTGGCTAATACTAATTTGCAATAGTTTCTCATAAATTCACTGCTGTTATAACAACTCATTAAAATTGTAAGACGATACAGCTGCTTAAGAGATTTTACAGCACACAACCAACTTTTAAAAATCTGTCTTCCCAACACTTGAACACTAGAAATTAAATGCGTTCTTTTGTTTTACTTAATACTTGGCAGCCTACACCATCCCTCCATAAGTAAGAGAAGACTGAAGAACAGTAAATCGTAATGAAAACTTTTTCTATTTATGTATCTCTTAATTCTAGAGCTTTTATAACCCTCTGAGACATTACAGTAACAGTTGTAAGAAAAACAATTTAACTGAATGGATCCTCATACAAAAACACCGTATGTTGAAATGCACATGTAACACCTCCCCCTCCCAACCATTCCAAACTAGTGGAAGGAAGTAGTGTTCACCCTTGCTGTTCCTGAAGGCTGAGGCACAACCCACTGTGAAAATACTAAAAATATACACACTAAAAGTGCACTAGGCAGTTGCAGGGGTTGAGAACAGGAAAGGAGTGTGCTGGAAGTTATCATGAAAATTAAGCAGAACGCTATTTTTAAACAGTGGGCCAGTAACTGTAGCTACTTTAGGCAATCCCTGGTGCTCACTTCCTCACACTACTAGTCTGTTTGCCTCAGAGGTCACACGCTACACATCAAACGGGGACCACCAAGAGGTATACATCTGCACAATGAGGCCCCAAGTCTTCTAAGTGGTCCTTTAGGTGTTTCTCAGTGACCAAAAAGGCATGAGAAATGTTAGCATAGGAAGACTGAAGAATTTTGAGGAGCATACAGTAAATCACAGAATACCACTTCTAAGGCCTCGTACATCATCTCATATTGTCAGCTGAGGTCAAGCACTGGCATTACTACTAATGCAAAAAAAAAAAACCCCAAAACCAGCAGGTAGGAGGGTACTTACAGAATGTGAAAAGGCAAAACCAGATTAAAAAAGTAACGCCCTGACAACCACAACCCTGCTAATGTTTACGGTACCTCGTGCTCCCTTCAAAGCTCTGACCTGACTCTCAGCATTCGTGCAAATACAGCATCTTCAGAATTAAGGATTACTGAGAAAATTTTGAAAAAAACATAATATAATGACTCTAAACCAAATAAGCTAAAAAAAAAAAAACAAAAAACAAAAAAACACCACCTCCATACTGTATTACTATTTTTTAGAATTGCCTTTTTTATTTTTTCATTATTTAGAACTTTAGGATTAATTATTTAGCATTGTAGACACATAGCTGCTTACTAAAAGTCTTGCAAAAACTGTTGCTCTTCCAAATCAAGAGGGGGATTTCGTTTTGTTTGAAATACAAGGTTAATTTGATCTTTACATCTTACTATACTGTAAGCTTTCTTTACATTACTGAAACTCACGTAATTAATTTGGTAGGATACTGAAAGTAACCATATATCTGGTAGTATAAAGTGTCTGTTTCCTGGTTATTTGTAGGAACCAGGAATTGTATTTTTTGCACTATGTCATTTGATAGGATGGGATTATATACACAAGTGCCTGCTGAATTCACAGATCTACCTGCCCTCTTAAAACAAACAGCAGAATTTTTGTCTGTTTCACAACTCTTTAGACAAATACATTTTAGAATATGAAGGTGTAAAAAAGATGCTTTTTAAATTTACTTACATCCATAATTTCATATGCCTGAAGCACCCTGGAGCATTGCTGCAACACCTGAAGTCATGACATGTTATCAGACTCTCTGAACACTGAAGGGGACCCCAAACTACAAACTATCACAGACTTGATTCTGACAGCTTAGCTGAGAACAATTAATGAAATTCCAGGTGAAGACATATTTCAACATATCACCTCTGCTCGAGTTGGTAAGTGACATGTCTGAAGCTTCTACTAAATCCAGATGATCTACTTACTTGAGGCAGTCTGAAGTAATATGGATAATTTTTACCACAGATTCTTGTCTTTTGGAAAAGACTTCCAAGAGAAAAATCACTCTTATCTCACTATCAAAATGCTGCAGGTGAGACAAAGCTGGCATCAGAGCTAACAGCCTCTGCATTACAAGAAAGGTTATCCACAGGCACCATGGTGAAACATGCCACTTCTCCCAAATCAGGAAAATAAATGAAGTTTCAAATTCACTAGTTTATTATTGGGAAAGTCTGATGTGATCCCTCTTCTACTCCTCCTATTAGTCCACAGAAAAACCAGGGGGAAAGGTGGGGAAAGAAATGGCTGTTACTTGTATTCTGATTTACAGGAGAGACAGGCAGATTTTTAACTGAAAATGACAATGAGAAAAAAAAACACTACAAAGATGTAAAAGACCATTTCTCTTACCTTTTAGCCCCTAACCTAGAAGTAGCTAACCCTGAACTCACATACTATGTAAGATACATACCATGCAGCATATATTAATTAAATCAATAAGCGATGCTTTATCACTTTATTCATGCTCCACAAGGCTACCAGTGAAGGTGCAGTGGATTTAAACTTATTTCTAAATGGCAAAATAAATTCAGCTTTGAACAGATTCTGGATCTTAAGTCACTGCTGACTCATAATGTGGTCTTCAAGCTAAAAAAAAAAAACCAACAACCAACCCGGTCTTCAAGCTAAAAAAAAAAACCCAACAACCAACCAAAACCACAAACACAAATGACCATGACACAGTGCTTGGAGGTTAAAGACACAGCCTGCATGTAAACATTTTTCAGGTCTGAACAAAGAAACTTAATTTATTGTTGGAAAGATAAAATTCATTTTTAGTTTCCTTTGAGAACAGAAGTCATGGGCAAAAAAAAAAGTTATCAAGGAAGTTGGATAAAGCTGTATCCTTTCAGCAGTCACCAGAAAGACAAGAACTGTTCCATCTTTCCACTGGAGATCGCTACAGCAAATTTATCTACCGAAAGGAGACGTAAAGAAGTGGTGTCTCTTGCTGTTCCGTTTCACAGTCTCTTCTGGCAACTCATAAAACTCCATTACAAACTTTGTGGAAACTTGTTTATAAATCAAAAACCTGAAATTTGGAGCTGGGTAACTCTCAAGGATGTAACTAGGAAAAAACCACCAAACCACAAGAAGTTCATCCCAGATTCCACAGGCTGCTGTGGCATATACCCTGCAATCATCAAGAAAGGTAAGACTGCTAACTCCTACGTTTTTTCAATGTTGCCTTCCTAGGTATTAGGGGTTTTATGATCAAAATAATAGGAACCTTAAGCCATTTGGATTTGTTGTTTGCTTGTTTTAAATGATGATTCCCTATTTCCATTCTCCCACTCTCTGTCAAGTCCAGATTGTTTTATTCTAGCCCTATGCACTTTGATTTCTCTGATCTGTATTAGTGGTTTATATTTTATTCTATCTGCAGATCAAGGAACCTTTCAGGACGGTTTGTTTTGTTTTGTGGGGCTTTTTAATCAGCTCAGAGTTAGTCATGAAGAACCAGTACCTTCTAGATAATCAAACTGATCTTCAATGTTTTTCTGAACGTCTTTTTCAACTGTATATGGAGGGAAGACAGAATGAAAGTGTAAAATAAGATCTGAATAACCCATACTTACTTAGAGAAGGTCCATGGAGAATTGCACAGTTGGGACAATGGTACAGATCAATGTCAACAGCATGGTGCTCCTCTACCCCAACGCAGCTGAAACAATATTTTTTAAATGTTAATAAGAATACATGCAAGATTTATTTTTCAAGCTAAAAAATAATTAAATCTTAAGTTTTTACCGGAACACGCTTAGTCTACAAAATTCTAATGAGATACCAAATTATCTCAACTACTGGGTTACCACCTAAACTTTGAGTAACAATTTATCACTGAACAGATAATGCCTTAAAAAAAAAAACCAAACCAAACATAAAAAGGAACGAAGAATGAAATTTCTTTTAAAATAAGTCCACAATGTATACCATTATCCCCATCCAAAAAAGCTTTGATCCTAAATACACACAACAGTTTAAGCAAAGTCATTCAAGCCATTTTCCTTATAGAAGTTATGATTTTAAAAAAATTCTTTCAAAAAGTCTACATGCTGTCAATTTATAGGAGATGCCATGGGTATTTTATCTTTTCTTTTTTACTGCAAAAAGCACAGCACTGACTCTAACCCCCCAAGACAAATCAGTGAAGAATACTCTTATATTCTTCCCAAAATTTTTACACTATGCAAGTTACACAAGTGACCACACAAACCACTTCGTAGAACTGTTTTTATAAAGAAAAGTAATTCCTACTTGCTGGTAGAATCTGAATCCTGGCAGAGTTCTTGCTCTCAAAATTCACTGACACAAAACTGCTGACTTTGTAACACAGAAGCAAGACTTCAACACTGAACATTTACACCAAAATTAGGTATTTATATTCAGTGCGTTCTAGTAACACGAGAACTTGAACACGACTCCATTCAGGTAGCCCGTTGCGTATCCGAAGTGTAATGACAGCTTAAGCACTGAAGCTTTGAAACGACCCAGCTACCAGAAGTCTTTTCCCTACCAGCCTAGTGCCAAAACTGCCAACACGCTCCACTAAGTGTCAGTACATGCTGCCAAAACAGTACACTGAACAGCCGAGCGTGCACAGCGCACCAATGAGCAAATCAAATCTGAAACTGAAGAGCATCTCCCATGTACCTACCAATGCGAAGTACACTATCCTGAATTCTCTGTAAACAATTTTCACTGGTTCTACTTCTGCATTCGCTATCTACCACATAAAATTTAAAAATTATACGCTTTTTTTATATACATACTATTTTAAAATCTAAATACAAAACTCAGCTGTCACAGTTCACCACAATTCTTGCAATGTTTAGTATCTGTTTTAAGACCACAACTACAGGAATTGTTATTACATGAAAATTCTAATGACACATGAACAAAAAGGAAGGCAGAAGCAGTCTTTAAAAATGCATATCCCATTTCCTTCTGCTTGTGTTCTCTCTCTTTTTATAGAATAGATCAGTGACTCATAGTCCTATGCATTGTAAGAAAACTGTTTTAAAAACAGCACTCCAAAAGCCCCAAATGAGAAGGCTGGTTTTATACATCCTTAGGAATCCCATTATTTTAGCTAAATTTCTGCTTTTTCAACAGCTGAAGATATTTATGTTGGACTGCATCTTGATCAAGTTGCACAATTATTCAATGAAACACAGTACTCCATGGGAAAACTGCCCTTACTCCCTTTTCCTTTCCCTTGGTGCTGATGGGATACATTCATCATCACCCCAGTCGGACTACCTTGCTGACTAGCAGTAAGAACTTTGCATCTAAGTACAGTAAAAATACCTTCAAGCTTTGACAACTGTTTGTTGTATTCTGTTTAAGAATGTTAATTTTATTGTCTCTTATAGAATGCTACAGATAAATAAAGCAGAAATTCTGTTTAAGCCCTAAACATTTTCTCTGACGATTAATTTCATAACCTTTCATGAAGGCACATGGGACTTGGTGTACAGACACTGCAGGGAACACTGGAATGATATTAGAATAGCTGGAATAGCCATTCAGTAAAGAAAGCAAACATCTTCAGTTTACTATTTACGCTCTACACTCAGAGCTAACCGGAGAGGCAAAACACTAACTGGGAGATAGAGGAAGTGACTCCAGTAGCAGATACCTGACTGATAGGAAGGGCAAATGAGGTGCCACAGAGCATATCAATCGCATACAGCACCATTACCAGTCACTTTCCGGAGTCCCTGTCTCCAACAGCGAGAGATGAATCTGACATTAATCATTCTGGCTACGAGCGAGCAATCAATTACTGTGGTAAGTGCAACTTCAGACCTCAAGCATCAAAGCAAGGTCACCAAGAGGTAGCAGAGAGCCTGGAAACCATTAACGTACTCAAACACAGTAACACTCCCAATCCACTGATGTTTTCCTGAATGAAATATCATTATTATTCTTCACCTCACCATCCATTTGGGTGGAAATGTCTTTAGTATGTATCACCTAGTTTCTGAATTGCTCATCCCCTGCAGGGAGGCTGTAGGCTAATCCTCAGGAATGGTGAAAAGTTCACAGCATTACAGAACGAAAAATAAAATACAAACAACTGTAGGATACTATGCAAAAATACACCTTTAATTCTGTTCATGAAGGTGGGAGGCCTGAACAGGGCCAATTTTATGTGAAACAGTTCTAGAGACAGTAGCAAGATAGAAAAATTTTGTTAAAAACAGACTCCATGATAGCAGTCTCTGAATATCCAGAACTTTCCCGAGGCATATGAAGAGGTAGTAGGAAAGTTGGGGAAGTGCTAAGTTGTTTCACATACAAGAACATGCCCATCCCTGAAAACTGAAGAAATCCACTGCTATTCAGAACCAATTGTCCAGACTTTAAATCTCACTAGAATGTTTCTGATTTTGTCTCAACGTTCCATTTGTTTATTATATTTGTAGCTACGTAACAGGAGCAAGTGTAAATCAAAAACAATCAGAAGAGGCCCATCTAACATATCTGATAGATACCAATGGACCTCCCTCTGCTTTTCTGTTAAGGGGAAATAAGGATTCTTTCATGGGGGTGGGAATCCTGCAGAGGCTGTTCTCTACTGTAGTATTGCTATTAATTTAGAATTTAAGAGATGAGGACAGATAATTTGGTATGACAGATTCAACCACAATTTCACAATTACGCTGGAATGCCTTGGACAAGGAGTTTGCAGAAGTCCAAAACATTTACAGGAAGCATTATCCCTGAAGACTGCACGGTTGTACACAATAAGCCACCGGGCACCTCTTCTCTCCTACAGCCGCATGAGGTTATGAACACGTGTTGGATCCACATCTGCCACCACACAGACTGCTGTGACTTCCAAATCCGACACCTGCTTGCTCTCAGGTCAGTCTGGCTTTTCCCAGACATGAGACTTCTGATGTTACCAAGAACAGCCAAAGCATTTCAGAGATTGCTAACTGCCTCTGTTGGTCTGACTGAAAAAATCCTGGTTTAAGGAAAAAAATTCAAAGCACTCTTGATTCAAGGCCTGATTTTCAGTGCCTGTAAAAGGATATCACTACTTGAAAACCTGTTTCCTCTTATTAAAACAAGTAGCGTATATACCTCATCATTATATAAAGTCCCAAGTATAAAATGGAATGATTACACACATAGCACTACAGAAGTAAACAGTTGCCAAGATATAAGTAAAGTTTGGATGCCCATTTCCCTAGTTTAACTGTCACAACTGAAAAGACTAATAGGCCAGATTACCAACAGTCCGCAAGATATTTCTACTAGGAAATTTCTGAGATTTCCTGCATACAAGGCATATTAAAAATATAAACTAATTCTTGATCATCTAGTCAAAGGACTGCAGAACACAGATGGATCATCCTCAACATGGAAAAAAGGAATTACTACACCAAGAGGCTGGTTTGTTGAGAGGACACCATCCTCTTGGATTCTGTCTTCTGTTCTTTTCTGCCATTTTTCCCCCCCTCTTTCAGTAACAGATGGAACACAAACTCTTCTTTCTAGACTACTGAACTCCTCATGAACATTCCCACAGCAGTCTCCACTTCTCCCAGCACCAGCATGACACTTTGTACCTGTAAGCTTCACCTGGTTGATGAGGAAACGTGACAGGCCACCACAGGAACATCCACCGTTTCTTCAACGGATATTGTTAGATAGACAGTTTTGCAATTAGATATTGACTCACAGCTCAAAAAACCATTTGGTTCAATTTTAAGTCTCTTTCTTACGTCTTGGGACACACAAAGTTCAGGTCAAAGACCTCTTTGTTTTCCACCGTTTGATCTGAACTGTCTGACTTTTTCCTGTCATTTTGCCAAAATATGCAGGTTCAGGATTCTTGCTAGCATTTTATTTAGTCACAATACTTTGCATCTTTCCAAGCAATAAAATCACTGAAAATTACATTTTGCAAGATCCACCTATATTCTCCCTGAATAAACACTACGGGTAATGTTCTTTTTCTTTCTCTACTACCCTATTTCTGAACAAGAACTCTGTATATCCTCATCTTCAAGTCCACCCTTGCACTAGAACCCATCCCCTTTCCTTGCCATGTCTCAGGGAGCACTGCAGGCTTATGCAATAAAACTAGAAAAAAACCCACACATCTTGACATCCAGTTAAAAAAAAAAAAAAAAATCAACAACATTCCTGGAACAGTGGAAAAACATTGGGGGTATTAGAGCATGTTCCTTGTTACAAGGAATACAGGGCTACAGACAATTACTAGGGGTATAGGCATGTTTCCTAGTATCTGACAGTATCTGAAAATAGTTTATCACTTTCCAGTTATCCACAGAACAGCTGAGAAGATACACAGATAGCGAGTCCCTGCTGTGTCTAAACAGGGGTGAAGAAAGGAGCAAGTCAGTTCTAGAGGTGGCAAAGACTTGTTAGTAACAGGACAGCCTTAACTGTCCAAACACTGAAGTCACTACCGCAGGGTACAGTTTCACATAATATTAAACTGAGTGTAGCTCCTGCTTAATGAGCAAGCTTGCAAGTTGTACGAAGAACAACAGCTTATGCTACTCCATCCCAAGAATGCAAAGAAAAGCATTGGGTGGAAAGTCAACTCGGCAAATTTTAAGGAATTCTGGTTAGTCGTTTAATTCAAGCCTATTCCTTCCAAGTGAGAAAAGGATGCCAAGT